TGCGGGATGGGGGCAGGAGAAGGATTGGGATTGGGGGGAAAGGGGGAGGTTGGGAAGTGATGTGAAGGGTAAACAAAGAGGAGGCTGCAATGCTTGGTAAGAAATGTAGGCATTATCCTGCCCATGCAATTGTAACCCCTCTGTACAGTATGTCCACAAATAAAATAAAATTAAATTTAAAAAAAGAAAAGAAAAAGAAAAGAAATGTACTCATTATCTTGCCCATGTAATTGTAACCCCTCTGTACATTATTTTCACAATAAAAAAGAAGAAAAAACAAATATGCAAATACATACACACACAAACAGTATTTCTAAGAGTTGACTTAAGAAAAGCAGTTTTACCCTTCTTAGCATTAGTCAGTCTCTTCCAATTAGATAGGGGCTATTTACTACATTCTTTTTTTGGGGGGGGCGTCCGGACATGGGGCCTGAATTCTGGGCCTGGGCGCTGTCCCTCAGCTCTTCAGCTCAAGGCTAGTGCTCTACCACTTGAGTCACAGCACCACTTCTGGCTTTTTTCTTTTTTGCTTATGTGGTGCTGAGGAATCGAACCCAGGGCTTCAAGCATGCAAGGCAAGCCCTGTACCACTGAGCCATCTTCCGAGCCCCCTATTTACTACGTTCTTGAGAGAGAAAACTGTTGCATTCCTTATGTAATTTGTTTAAGGAGCTTCTCACTTATCTTCAGACGAGACATTAAGGTTGAACCACTGACACTGAATTTGGAAATTAAAAAAAATGTTGCAGTTAGTTCTGGAAGTGCACTGAGATGACCCAAATGCATCCATGTATGTGTTTGTATGTTTATGAGTGCTTGTGCTGTGGCTTTGTGGGTAGGTGTGAATTTGTGTTTGTATTTGTGTGTGTGTGTGTGCGCACGTGTGTGTCTTAATACTAGGTGGAACTCCGTGTATGTTTTTCACATGGGTTTTTTGGGGGGGGAGGGGGTCCGGTTATGGGGCCTGAACTCTGGGCCTGGGTGCTGTCCCTCAGCTCTTCAGCTCAAAGCTAGCGCTCTACCACTTGAACCACAGCACCACTTCCAGTTTTTTTTTCTTTTTGCTTATGTGGTGCTGAAGAATTGAACCCAGGTCCTCATGCATGCAAGGCAAGCTCTCTACCACTGAGCCACCTTCCCAGCCTCTCACATGGCTTTTTACCTTCAGCTGGGCCACTTGTTCTTCTGGTCTCATCTTGTGCAGGGTCTAGAATTACACTCATGTGCCTCTACCAGTGATTGTCCCTACCTTTTTTTGTAGGTTATGAAGCTTGAACACTTGCCATTGGCGCTGTCCTTGAGCTCTTCAGCTCAAGGTGTGTGTTCTCACACATGAGCCAGAGCAACACTTCCAGTTTTCTGGGGGTTAATTGATGGTGAGTCTCATGGACTTTCCTGCCCAACCTGGCTTTGAACCGCAATTCACATATCTCTGCCTCCTTCATAGCTAGGATTATAGTCATGAGACACCAGCACCTGGCATGGCCCCTACATTTTTGAAGCAATTTCTTTGAGAGTGACAGGGTCCTTTGCAGAATTAGTGACAACTAGGTGGTAAAATATTTGCATGGTAGGCACTCATTAATAAACTAGCACCTATTGTGTGGTGCTCATTATTTCATAGGTACTGTATATGAACCCAGTACACAATATTGGGAAAAGAGAATGGTATCATACACAATTTCCCAAAGGCTCCAATTTCAAGTAGTCGATCTTCATCGGTAAAGGTTGAATGAGATACAGAAAATACTGATAGATAATCTTAATGGCAAAATATTTTAAGGAAAGAATCATACTAGTTTTGAGGTCTACCTACTTTATATTTCCGTATATAACTGGGATTGCAAATCCATGGGCTTGTGACACTACATGTCATTTCCCTCCCTGGTGATAAACTTCCAGAGATTTTTATCTGTCTGGGGTTTGTCTTTGTCAGAGGTCAGCAAAGAGTGCGTTTTATACACTATCAACTTTGGCACTTGAATTAACTCATAAACTCCTTTCCAAGACTGGAAACTCTCAGTAGTTGTGAGTTGATGACAGAGCTCCTTGAGTAATTTGTTTCACACTTGGGATGTCCAACTATCCAGCCCTACACTCTGACCATGAATGTAGGAAGTCGGTAGGTAAGGGAAGAAACAGCTTTCATTTTGGGTGTTGAAAAGACTTATCAATTGATTTGTTGTCTTATTTACTGGGAAGATTCTCTATGATTAAGATTTTGAAACTTCCAGGTGTGTCAAGCAGTCTCCATTTTATTATAACTGGATTAACATCAGACTGATAAGGACAGTTCTTACTGCCTTACTCAACAGTTGCTAAGAGACAGAAGGCCTCTTGTGATGTCATAGACTGTTTATGTTTGTCTAGGCTTGTCTATCTGTGTGGGTAGGTTTACTTAAGCTGTGGTGTTTGAAACTGTGAAAATAGGATGAGTAGCGGAGGAAGAAAGAAATTGAGATGGAGGAATTATTTTCAGACATGGCAGATGCTTCCAAATGTAGCTCCTCAGAGTCAGATCCCTCCATCCTACCTTCATTGAGTGATCTCTCACTCACTGAGGAAGATGAATTAAGGTCTAAAATTGAGGAAATTACTTTTCAAGTTTTGTCTCAGACACCCTGGGTCCAAAGACTCCGTTCCACATTTTGTGTCTCTATACCAGATGAAGACAATGATTTTGTTTCCCTAACCTTTCCCAGAAAACTTTGGAAAATAGTGGAAAGTGACAAATTCAAGTCTATTTGGTGGAGTGAGGATGGAACTTCTATTGTGATTAAGGAAGATCTCTTTAAGGAAGAAATTTTGGGAAGAAAGTATCCTTTCAAAATTTTTGAAACTAAAAGTATGAAAAGTCTAGTTCGACAACTGAATCTTTACGGGTTCAGTAAAATTCAGCACCGATTTCAACGATCTGCATCTCTGGTTGACTTTCTTGCTGAAGAAAAAGAAGCCTCTGCTTTAAGCAAGGTAATTACTTAGGCCTTTTTCACTTAAGCACTATCCAATGTCTTAATTTGTACTCCTGTTTACCTTTCACTACACTAGAGTAAAACCAAACCAAAATTATCTGAAAATCTTATGAAAAGAAATTTTTTAATCTCTTAAGGACAACCTGAGACTTAAATAGTTCGAATTTACAGCAAATTTTCTAACAACTTTGAATCTTACCAGTGAAATCTGAATAAGGCCACTAAAGATGTTCATTGTTGCTGTAAAGTCAGATCATGATTTCACTTGAGGACAATAATATTTATGTGTCTGCATATTTATGTTTGTTTTCTACCAAGTACATTTAAAGTAATGAAAGCATATCTGAATTGTTTGACTTCTCTACCAACAAGATTAGCTTGTAGTCTCTGATTTCTTCCAGTAGGTTTGGCACTGACACTTTCCTATTAAAATATCTCCAAATAACTTTCTCCTTTGGTTTCAGTTGCTGTGCTATCATAATCCAAATTTTAAACAAGGATGTCCCCAACTGTTAGCAAGAATGAAAAGAAGAGTCAGGATTAAAAATGTCTCTCCAGCAGCTGATTCATTGGTTCCACTTCTGGATAACAAACAACACCTTGAAGCACAGGGTAATGTGAACAATCTTAATTCTCATTTAGTTGCTGAAACCAGTGGAGAAAATATTCTTTCAACATCAGGGAAATTATTTATGTCTCCAGTAAAGCAGCCTTCTAGCAGACATATGATTGCAAGTTCAACTTACCTAGTCAGAAATGACTTTTCTCTTACATCGTCATCCATTCAACCATCAGAACAAATTACAACACATCAACATGACATTCTAAATCATGTGGCCACTTTTCATGTGCTGTCAAACAACAGCTACACACAGGCTAATGGCCACATTGTAAATTTTATTCCAACTTCTACTTGTCAATACCGGATCATACCTCCCTTACAAAATAGCAGTCCTGGACTGATGGTGGAACCTTCTGCTATCCCAACTCGATATTCTCATGTATTAGCCAATGATGCTCCTGAATCGAGCCTGCTACTGCCAGCACATAATCATTGCCTCCCCATTCCCACCATTCCCAATAAATCTACTGCACCGTTTTCAAGCTCAACTCATCAAACATCATCCGTATACCAGCATCATCCTAAGAGTAATCTACCAATGGAGTACTAGATTTGGCAAGGAAACACATTAAAATGAGTTGGCAAATATTTAAAACTTACCTGCAAATGTCTTACCTACACAATAAAGTGGCATGCTAATATCTATGTTTTCTTTTTCTTTAAGGGTTGGTTTTATCAATATTTACTAGAAACTCCATTTCTTCCAGATTCTCAAATTTGTTAGCATGAAGGTTTGAAAAATATTCCCTTATAGTGTTCTGAAAATTGGCTGTTTCTTTGTAATTTTCCATTCTAATCTCTGATTTTGTTTATTTGGGTGTGTTTTCTTGCATTTTGTGTTGGGTTTTTTGCAATTCATTCAGTGTTGAGTGACAATTTTCTGTTTGATAGCTGAAAGCCTATAGGGAAAAATGGACCTCTCATCCACTATACCAATAGTATATGTGGAAGACTTTGAAGAACCCATTCTGGGGAATTCTGTGTATCACTGAGCAGTACCACTGAAACAATATCATATTTTTTATTTTATACTCAAGGTGATGTAAATTTTTTCACAATGAATGATTTATTGGTAATTAGCACAAGTTTTATGATCCAAAAGAATTATAATAGTCTAATAAAATGGGGTCTATTTAACTTTCTCTTAAAAGATGAACTAAGTTTAAGGAATAGATTTTTCATTTTGACATTACTGATATAAATTTTTCTATATCCTGTTCAATTTCCAAAACTAAAGGTTTTCTAACAAAGCATTTTTATTAGCTCTCTAAATTAAACATTGAAGAGCCCAGTCAGTATCTTCTATCCCAACACTTACTCAACTCTAAAAGATATTTACTTTCTAAACGTGGCAAGTCTTCATACCCATCTCTCAGTCTGCTTCTGCCACAGCCACAGTGAAGGACTCCTTGGCACAAGTTGACTGTGGAATTTCTCAATCTACTTTACATCTTGAGTTTGCTCTGTTCTATAGACCAAACAGATGGCATCATCTGTTACTTTCACACAGAAATTCCCATCAGCATGCCTGTACTTGAGAACCACACACACCTTCATTGGGTCAGCTTCTCTGCTACTCAGCTGAACACCCAATTCTGGAACTGCAGCATCGCAGCATCGGGAAGTGAGTGGCAGGTTGTGGTGGCCCACTTCCTCCTCCCTCAGGAAGCCAAGGTGTTGTAAATTGGGGTTACAATTACATGAGTAAGGTAATGAGTACATTTATTGTTGAACTTGTTACCCCTCCCTATTTTTCTCCTCCTTTCCTTCCCTCCTACCCCCTTGCCCATGTTCTACACATCCTTTCCAACATATTGTCTTGTGAGTGTCACTATTGCATTGGTTCACCCTTTGTCTTCTGTCTCACCTACTTTTTTGTTCCATATCCCTTACATAATTCAAATAAGCATATATACAATAAGAAGTACCAAAATAAAATACAGGGACAACAGGGGACAAACCATAGGGGAAGAACAGAAAAAGAAATCCTGACAAAATTTTAGCCAAGCCATGTTAATAAAATATAACCAAGAATAAGTTTAGGACAAGTAGAAAAGGTCAAAAGCTGTGTGCATATGACTATATAAGATGATGTTAAATGAAATGAACACCAAGATAGGGACACAACTTGTTTTTTCTTTCTTGATTATTGTTAACTTATTTGAAATATACTATATGATTTTTTGTTTCTCTTTTATGTTCTTCCCCCATGGTATAACCCCTGTTTTCACTGTATTTGATGTCAGTGCCCTGCATCTTGTACATTCATTTTTCTAATTTGGGGAGGGGAAGGGAAATAACAAATGCTGAAACAAGGATACAGGTTGACCTATTGTAGCAATGGCATGTACAAGACACTATGTTGAAAACGAACTTTAAAACTTGGGGGGAGAGGGTGGAGAGGGGAGATGGAGAGGGAAGGAATGGTAGAGGGAAAACAAAGGAAAAGGTAACAATGCTCGATAGGAAATGTACTTATTACCTTACTCATGTAACTGTAACCCCTCTGTATACTATTTTTACAATAAAAAATTAAAAAAGAAGAACCAAGAAATAACCTGTGGGTTCTAAATGACTTCCAAAAGAAGCCTGGCTTATTAAGCAGAAGGGCTCAATGTCTTTGAAGTGTCTGTATGATGATGCACATATTTGATACATTAATCTTAAAACATTTAAAATGTCAAAATAACTCTAAAAATGATTGTTCTTTTTTTATACATTTTATGAAGTAGTATCAAAAGAATGTCAAAGACTGTGGAAATACTTGGGATTAGAAAGCATGGTTAAATTGCAGCCTACTCAACTAGCTAAAATCCTGAAAGCACTGGAGTTCAGTTTTTGCTTGTCAAATCAAGGCCATCTCACATTCTCCTTTCACCTACATTTGGTTGAAAAAGTTTTTTCCAAAGAGGAAGATGCATGCAATGACATTATTGTCACTGAAAAGAACTCTGAATCAAACTAGATTCATGTAAATTATTTTGGTTTATTATATATAACTATATCATGAGATAATCTTAGAGTACATTGAACAATATGCGGGCCAATATTCTGGTAAAGAATCTCTTACTGAGAAAGCACTTTTTAAACAAACCTAATCTTGAAGACCACACAAAAAATTATACCAAGGGGCTGGGAAGGTGGCTCAGTGGTAGAGCGCTTGCCTTGCATGCCTGAGGCCCTGGGTTCGATTCCTCAGCACCACATAAGCAAAAAGAAAAAAGCC